CGAATGACTCTTTTCCTAGCTAGAAATGATTTTCAGCCACCATATGCCAAATTTTGCGCGGTAAACAAGCAAAGATGAAAACAACCCCAAATGCCATAAAATAGAAAGAAAGAGAGAAATAAAAGATATAAAAAAAAAAGGATTTTGATTTTTCTTTTTCTTTTTCTTTTCCGATTCCACTTTCTTCTTCTTAACCAACCCATCTTCTGGCGCTGTAGAACACACGACCCCACGGGCCAATGTCACCCCATTCCTCTGCCTTGGCAGGCAGCCAACTGGCAATACCGCCCATGACGGTACGCTCGGGATGAGGCATGATAGCCAGGACACGACCATCGGCGTTACGCACACCAGCAATACCCTCGGGACTGCCGTTGGGGTTGAAGGGGTACTTCATGGTAGGCTTGATGGTGGCGTTATCGACGTACTGGACGGGAGCGAGACCCTCCTGAACGAAGGACTGGGGGGTAACGCCAGCTGGAGCAGCAGCGAAGGAAGCGCGGCCCTCGCCGTGGGCGACGGCAATGGGCAGGGAGGTACCGTCCATGCCGTGGAGGAAGACGGAGGGCGAGGCGGGATCAGGGTCAGAGACGCGGACCATGCACACACGGCCCTCATACTGTTCGGAGGCGTTGCGTTCGAAGCTGGGCCAGTGCTGCGCGCCGGGGATGAGATCCTTCAGGCGGGAAAGGAACTGACAGCCATTGCAGACGCCGAGGGCGAAGGTATCGGGCCGGTTGAAGAAGGACTCGAACTCGGACCGGGTGTTGTCGTGCAGCAGCACGGATTTGGCCCAGCCTTGGCCGGCACCGAGGACGTCGCCGTAGGAGAAACCACCGCAGGCGGCCATGCCGACGAAGCTGGCGAGAGAGACACGGCCGGAGAGGATGTCTGTCATGTGGACGTCGACGGCGGAGAAGCCGGCAACGTTGAAGGCGAAGGCCATCTCGGCCTGACTGTTGACACCCTGTTCGCGGAGAATGGCGACGCGGGGCTTGTTGGCGAATGGGGAGTACTGGGTCAGGCTGGTGAGCATGGGAAGAGCCTTGTCCTTGGGGTCAAAGGTTGGGTTCCAGGAGAGACCGGGGTCGGTGTCGTTGAGGATGTTGGCGAACTCCTGGTCGGCGCAGGCGGCATTGTCGCGCATCTTCTGCATGTGGTAGGAGGTGGAGGACCAGGTCTGCTGAATGTTGGCGCGGCTGTTGCGGTACACCAGGCTATGACCGCGGTAGATGACCAAGTTTTGCTTCTGTCGCTCAGACACACGTCCGATCTTGTGGATGAGGCCGGCGGGGGGGCCGCAGGTGGCGAAGCAGGAACGGAACTGGATCTCATGCTCCTTGCGGACCTGGAAGACAGCACCGAGTTCTTCGTTGAAGAGAGTCTCCACGACGTCCTTAGTGTTAGCGGTGGGGCAGATGTTGTCAAGCATCACTTCGACACCACAGCGGCCGGCGAACATCATCTCGGCGAGAGTGGTGAACAGACCACCGTCAGAACGGTCGTGGTAAGCCAGAACAATGCCAGCGTCCTGGAGCGACTGGGTAGCGTCGAAGAAATCTCTGAAGATATCAACATTGCGCATGTCGGGGCACTCGTCGCCAACCTGGTTGAAGACTTGAGCAAGGGCAGAACCGCCCAGAGCCTTCCGTCCGAACGCGAGATCAACGAACATCAGGACGGTGTCACCAACATCCTCGGGGCGGCGGAGAGCAGGGGTCCAGGTCTTGCGGAAGTCGCCGACAGGTGCGAAGGCAGTAATGACAAGAGACATGGGGGCAGTGACCTCCTTGGCTTCCTTCGACTCATCGGTCCACTTCATCTTCATTGACATAGAGTCCTTGCCGACGGGAATGCTGATGCCAAGCTTGGGGCAAAGGTCCATACCAATGGCCTCAACGGCTTCATAGATGGCAGCACCTTCGCCTGGGTGGCTACTGGCGGACATCCAGTTGGCAGACAACTTGACGCGGCTCAGACGGTCAACCAAATCAGAAGCAGCGATGTTCATAAGCGACTCGGCGACTGCCATGCGAGCTGATGCGCCAGAAGAGATCAGAGCGAGAGAAGGCCTCTCACCCATTGCCATAGCCTCACCGGTCCTCATTCCGGGTTGCAGTCCGGTGGCAGTGACAGCAACATCCGCCACGGGAGTCTGCCACCTGCCAACCATCTGGTCACGGGCGGTAAGACCACCAACGGTCCTGTCACCAATGCTGATAAGGAAAGACTTGGAGCCGACAGCAGGGAGGGAGAGGACTCTGTTGGCAGCCTCACTGATGAGCTCGGTGTGGTTGGGTGCAAGGGCCGGAAGGTAACTAGTAAGACCAGCATCCACAGTGGGCAACTTCAATTTGCGGGAATCGACGGTGCGGGTCATGCGAGGAGGCTTTCCGAACAAGACCGACAGGGGCAGATCAATAGGCTTGGGATACTCGGTAGATTCTCTGTCGAGGAGGATCAGTCTCTTGTCCTCCTCCGAGGCCGCGCCAGCTCCGCGACCCACAACGGAGAAACCACAGCGCTCACGGTGGGCAATTGCAGTGAACTTGTTCATGCAGTCCTCGCCGACAGCCAAGACATATCGTTCCTGGGCCTCACAGCACCAAATTTGCATAGGGCTCATGCTGCGATCAGCACTATCGACTTCACGGAGCTCGAAGGTAGCACCGAGACCCGAGTCATGGATCAATTCAGGAAGTGCGTTGGACAAACCACCGGCGCCGACATCGTGGATAAATTTGATGGGGTTGTTATCTCCCATCGCGGTACACGCGTTAATGACCTCCTGGGCTCTACGCTGGACCTCAGCGTTACCTCTTTGCACACTGGCAAAGTCGAGCTCAGCAGAACCTTCACCAGAAGTAATACTAGAAGCGGCACCACCACCGAGACCAATAAGCATAGCCGGGCCACCCAAAACAACCAGGAAGGATCCAGGCTTAACAACCTCGGGCTTCTTGAGCGCGTGCTGGGGCCTGACAGTTCCGACACCACCCGCAAGCATGATAGGCTTGTGGTAACCTCGAATCTCAGACTGGCCGTCACCGATATCAATTTCCGTGAGAAGAGTACGGAAGTAACCGAGGATACAAGGGCGACCAAACTCGTTGTTGTATGAAGCACTACCAATGGGGGCCTCAAGCATGATGTCCAAGCTGCTCGCAATATGGTTGGGTCTACCGACATCAAGTTCCCAGGGCTGCTTGAATCCGGGAATCAGAAGATCAGAGACACAGTACCCAGACAGACCTGCCTTGGGCTTTGATCCTCGTCCGACTGCGCCCTCATCACGGATCTCTCCTCCAGATCCGGTGGCGGCACCAGGGTAGGGTGACACCGCAGTAGGGTGGTTATGAGTTTCAACCTTGGCCAGGAAGTGAACAATCTCTTTCGTGTGGTTCCATTCTCCAGTGGCGGAGTCTGGTGCCCAGAAACTGGCCATGCCTCCCTCGAGGACAGCGGCATTGTCACTGTAGGCACTAACGGTGTACTCGGGATGCTTCTTATGGGTGTTTCGGATCATAGCGAAAAGGCTGTTGGGCATCTGCTGTCCATCGATAACCCATGAGGCATTGAACTGCTTGTGACGACAATGCTCTGAGTTGACTTGTGCGAACATGAACAATTCAACATCAGTCGGGTCACGGGCGAGAGGACCATTCGGACCATAAGCTTCTGCGAGGTACTCAATTTCAGAGTCCTCCAATGCAAGTCCTAGTCGCTTGTTGGCCTCCTGCAGGACTTCCTTGGGGGACTTGTCACTGCCTGAGAGAGCAATTGTTTCGAGGGGGAGGGGGCTATGTTCGGAAAACATCAGGTGCAGATCAGGCTGCTCCTGACTGATGATCTGTGTCATGCGATCATGCAGAACTTCCTTAAAGTCCGATTTGTAGTCTCCAGACTCAGAGCGAAGGCAGGAGATCTTCAACCCACGTTCAATGCGCTTAACATACTTGCGCAAGCCGCAGACGTGGGAGATGCCGGTGGCTTGGGAACTCCACGGGGAGATGGTTCCGGTGCGAGGGAAAATATAGAAGACATCGTACTGACCATCCTCGGAGCTGAAGGAGGCCGGAATGTCGGTGATATCACCATAGTGTAGGAGCTGCTTCAAGACGGCTTCCTGCGGCTCATCCAGCTTCTGCGAGGCATGAATGTAATGTATCCATTGAGCCCGAACGTCCTGGGCTCCAATACTAGCAGCAAGAGCGTGTCCGCGAGAATGTGAGAAGGCAACGGAGCCTGGAATGGCGAGATAGGAATCAGACGCCATGATGGAGGTGTATGAGGAGATTTTGCGTATAGAGAGGGGGGTCACGGTGAGTCAGTGACGCGATGAGTCGGAGGGGGCGAACCAGGGCTGTTGGAATGATTGGAATATTTCGAGGGAGATTTGTGACTGTCGAGGAAGAGGCGTCTTGTGACACGCCTCCAGGAAATAGTTCGACTGGCAAGGAGGAGACCCGCGACAAGGCGTAGAGCTACTACTCATCCAGTCTTCATCGTTGACGCTTTGCAACTTTTTTCCTTTTTCTGGCCGTAGCCCCGCGCTAATCCGCTTCCGGCTTATCGCGGAGGTTATCAGTCATGTGACTCTCGCTCGGAATAAATCATCCTCTCCCCATGAATGCCTGAGGCGACATTAACTGGACAAACCCTAAAATCGTATCTACAGTTACAATAAGTTCAAGGAAGTTCGTTGTAGCTGGTATACGAATCTGTGGTTGTACTTGGTTGAAAATAAGAAGCAAGAGAACATTGGATTCCACTAAGCAACTGATATGATCTTCCCTGACCATTCTGGGGGCAGTGAATACCATTTGTTTGTCTTTATTTCTTGCATCAAGAGGATTAGAGATGTGGCTTAATTGCATAACTACTACCTATGGAGAAAAGATAGGGAGGGGGATAAATTGGGGAGGGAAAAAAAGAACAAGTTCATTCATTGCAATCTAGGTTAGCAAGAAAATAAACGGGAGCAAAAAAAGAGTTAGATGCGACAAGGGCAGGATTTGAACCTGCGCATGCGAACATATTCGATTTCGAGTCGAACCCCTTAGACCACTCGGGCACCTTGCCATGCTTCTTGTTTAAGGTTTATGTTTACGGCTATATAAGCGTATAGACTTATTGAAGACCGTTATGCCATGAAAGTTACCTCTCCCACTGTCTTTGCACCTTTCGGTGATGTTTTTCTGTTTGATATGCTCTTTTTGTGGCTCACACAAGTTGATCTGATAGTCATCTGTACTGTACGAAATGCATGCCCCCCAATTGGCTTGCCTTGTAGGATCTAGGGCTTAATGATAGTGGAATTCCTTGGGATACCTGGTCGGAGAACAACTCCGCTCTCGGCCAGCAAGTTCAAAGACGAGAGGCATTGCCTTTTGTCTTTCGAGTTATTAATTTAGGAAGAATGATCAGTTTCTCATATTGAAGATCACTAAAAACTAGTCTCTCGTCTTTTCGGTTCAGATAACCTTGGATTTCCTGAGATCTTTAATGCTGGGGAGTTAAATGTGGAGGAAGGTAGATGGAAATATATATAATTGTTCCCCGAAGTCAACCAATCAACTCTACCACTTCCATCTGTTTTTCTCGATTCGACATTCTACCCCTGGATTATGCACAAGCATATATAGGCAAGCAGCTCTCGCAAAACTACAAGCAGCGAGTTGGGGCGGTTCTTCTGCATATGGGCATTGGGATTAACATCAGCTGCATTAAAGGAGTCCAGGCCACGATGAATTGTTATTAGATAATAATGTTAGATAATGAATACAGAAACGCGATGCGGTCCACGCAAATTTCTCGTTTAGGGAATTTCGAAGTAAGTAAAACCTGGATACTACCTACGTACGGGCGAATCTGATTGCTTCTTAGGCAGACCTTGAGGTCAGTGGAGACGGAGCCTTGGTGGACAAGGTAACGAAATTTATGGGTCTCGAACAATCATAAATTCCTCTATGGGTACGCCAAGATCTAAGCAAAGCTTGGAGCGTCATATGGCGTAAAGGATTGAAAAAATAAAATAAGATAGAAAAAACACGATGATTCTACTACATGCCTTCCCAATCAAGTAATATGCTCCGAAGAAGATCCGCGTTTCCGTTTATTTACAAAGCTGGTGTGCCAAGAGCCTTGGCCCGTGGAATTTTGATGAATCCTGAAGCTTGGATGGAGCTTTTCATTTCGTAAATATGTCATCGCAGCCGTCAGACGATTAGTGTGTCAGAATTTTTTCGCTGACCGTCGGATGAATGATTGTATTGGACGTCTCAGGGGAAAAAAGGATTTCATTGAGTAATAGCGAAGAAAATAGCAAAAGAAAGTGTCCTCTGTTCTCCGCATCAGTTGTCGGTAGTATAATCCTATGACCGCTGGCTATAGTTTTTCTTCTTTGATCCATCTCAACACATAGCACCCAGCAAACATATCCCCTTGAACATTGGGCGAACGTGATTGCCTCTGAATATAAAAAGGTCGAACGGTAAATATGTCTACGCCATATGGCATGACCCTCCTTCGTGAAGAGGGGCGAAATTCCTCGACCCACTTCTTCGGGAAAAACCACAGAGGGTCTGTCTCCCTTCTGGCCCACCATGATAAGGCCCAGACTGGGTAGGCTCGATGGAGCAGTGGTCCCGTGTACCTGACGGAACATGCCGTATCTACTATTGTGGTAACTATACTCCTGGGGATATAGGCTATACGTAATTCCGACTCGGATGATTCAATTTTCCTGATGGGGTGTGCCTGACCCCAACGGTGTAGTTCTCCATCGAAGTGGATGACGAAGCGCGTGCTCTACTCCACGAGGCTCAGGTTTTTTCCCCCATGGGATTATTGTTGCTGGAGACATTGATGAAGTCCACTATTAGGGGGGGCTAAGTGGTCGTCAACTAGAATGTTAATATTTTTCCTCTACTACATACTACCAAAAACAAATGACACAAACGAACAATTAAGTTGTCTGACATGAGCTCTATGATTGTTGGTCCAAGCAAGGTTAGACGTTGCGATAAGCAGCGATGTCGTGGTATATTACTAATTAGGGTTAGCGGGGGCGCATCCCAAATAGGAAACCGAGAGAGTCCCGAGCCAAGATCGGGCCGATAGACTGCCAAAGGGGGCATCTAGAGTTATCGCCCCGTGTGGCACCCGGGGGCTCGTTCCTGTATCAAACTATACTGGGTCCAGCCTTAAATTTTCTAACCATGCTGGTCTATAAATACCCATGTATTCCCCGAGCTCATGGGTATCTCTGTGCTTCGATTCACAATCATCATAATCTACTAAGTTGTCCCTGCCTACGATCATCACCAAGATGCAGGACCAACAACATCAACCCCAGGTGGATCTCACCACACAGGCCACCCGGACCTTCTCCAGGCAATCCGCCCCCGAATATGATTACACCGATCTGCCTTTTCGTCAACTCACCAATGACGCCAACATGGAAGAGTATACAACCGAAACCGCCACCGGAGAGATTGTCAGACCTGTCAAGTCCTCCGCCACCGGCAAGATCGAAGATTACAAGCTTGTGACGTTCACGATCGACGACCCCGAGAACCCCAAGAACTGGTCGAAATTGTACAAGTGGTACTGCACCATGGTCGTTTCTTTCACTTGTTTCGTCGTCGCCTTCGCTAGCAGTGTCATCACTGCTGATATCGAGGGACCCTCGGAGACCTTTGGTGTCTCCCGTGAAGTTAGTCTGGTCGTTGTGACAGTGTTCGTTGTTGGGTTTGGTGTCGGTAAGTTTTTTGTTTTTTAGCTTTTTAGCTGTAACTTGGCTCGGTACTGACAGCTTCAGGCCCTATGGTTTTTGCCCCGGCATCCGAAATTGTTGGCCGAAGACCCGTCTATGCTCTCACCCTAGCCCTGGCTGTTATTTTCGTCATCCCATGTGCTGTGTCAAAGAACATTGGAACTCTGATTGTTTGCCGAGCTATCGATGGAATCGCCTTCAGTGCTCCCATGACCCTCGTCGGAGGCACCCTGGCTGATCTCTGGAAGAACGAGGAGCGTGGTGTTCCTATGGCCGCATTCTCTGCCAGTCCCTTCCTTGGCCCCGCCATTGGCCCTCTTGGTAAGTTTTTTGTGAATTCTACAAAAAAAAAAAGAGTGTCAATTAACTAACTGGATCACATAGCTGGTGGTTTTCTCGCCGATGGCACGAACTGGCGCTGGCTTTACTGGTTGCAGCTGATTCTTTCCTTCGTTGCCTGGGTATTGATTACTTTCACCGTCCCTGAGACCTATGCTCCAGCCCTCTTGAAGAAGAGAGCCCAGAAGCTGCGCAAGGCCGAGGACGACCCCCGATATGTGACTGAAGCTGAGCTCAACCCTCGCCCCTTCGGAGAGAGAATGCGCGTCCTCTTCCTTCGACCCTTCCAGCTCCTGTTCCTCGAGCCCATTGTGCTGTGCATTGCCATCTACATGTCCATTCTGTACGGTCTTCTGTACATGTTCTTTGTTGCCTACCCCATTGTCTACCAGGGTGGTAAGGGCTGGAGTGCCGGCTCAACCGGTCTTATGTTCATCCCCCTCGCCATCGGTGTTCTTATGAGCGCTGCCTGCGCCCCTTTCATCAACAAGCATTACCTCTCGCTGTACGCCAAGTTCAATGGAAAGCCTCCTGCTGAGATGCGCCTGATCCCGATGATGTTCTCTTGCTGGCTCATCCCAATTGGACTGTTTATCTTCGCCTGGACCTCCTACCCTCAGCTCCATTGGTTTGGACCCGCCATCGGTGGCTGGCCTGTGGGATTCGGCTTCATCTTCCTGTATAACTCGGCGAACAACTACCTTGGTAAGTTCCAATTTCACTAAATGCAGTGTGATATCCCTTAACTAACGGAAATTTTTAGTGGATACCTACCAACATCAAGCTGCGTCTGCTCTCGCAGCCAAGACATTCCTCCGTTCCATCTGGGGTGCATCGACTGTGCTGTTCACTGAGCAGATGTACGACCGTATGGGTGACCAGTGGGCTAGCTCTTTCCTTGCCTTCCTTGCTCTGGCATGCTGCGCTATCCCATTCGTATTCTATTTCAAGGGAGCGTCCATTCGCCGTTATTCCAAGTTCGCCTTTGCCGACGAGGAGCCTAACGAGAAGGTTTAAGTCAGTCGCCAGACAGACATTGTCGGGAACTTGTGAATAATCTTCGGGGACCTTCCCGAGCCCCTGTTATACCCTATACACCCTTCACAAGACAGATTCATTCTTCATCATTCCCCTGTGTTATATTATTGCATTTGCATTTGCATGGCATTTATTTAAAAAAAGCTGGAGTTTTTTTTTTGGCGTTATGATCAGCCACATATGGATATTTTTGGAAGATTCTTACAGATACTATCACTATTACTATAAATTAATGTGTTCACTATGATAAATAATCCTTTTGTCTTTGTATAATACCTACCTAAGTTAGCCCAAGTTACACCAACCGTCCACTATACATGACGAAGATAGCCCTCTGACGTCATATACCCACTGCCGCAGGGCTTAGGGCTTCGGCAGTAGTCAAGCTGGGGCTCACGTGCCGGCAGCTTAGTCATAAGCCAGCGTCAGAGCGGGAACTCTTGCTTGCTTTTGCCTTGTACTATCTTTGACTCTGTACCTCTTGCGACAACCATTTGTCTCGTTCTTCCTCCATCTGCCCACCATGATCCAATGAAGTTAATGAAGTAAATAGCCCACTGATCGAAGTCATGTTCATGTTTCCTACGTCAGTGTGAGGCCAGCATCAGACTACCGCGCTGTATCCCGTTCTTCCCGTCTCACTCCATGAACTTGACTGCCACTGTCCGCAACGAGACAGACCATACGATTCGAGACGCAAATCGTTGTGTGACACAGTGATCGATTTTCCTTTTTCTTTTCTTTTTTCTCCCTCCCACCCCCCCACTATACCCTCGCCAATGACCTCGCCATACCAACCACCCATGTCATTCTCCCCCGCGGTAACGGCCCCCGATTTATCGGCCATCGGATCGCGACCCCTCGCCGACCTCCCCCAAGCGCAGGTCGACGCCATCATCCGCACGAAACGCAAAGCCCGCGAACCCAA